TTATTTGAGGGTTATTGGGGGGTTATTGCGGCCTAGAGGTTGGGGGGATTACTTGGGGGTTATTGTGAGAGTTATTGCAATGGGTTATTGAAGTAAAACCACAGAGACCATTACGGAGTTATTGCGGTCATGGAGATTATTGCGTGGTTTTTTGGATGTTATTAGAGGGTTATTTCAGGAGGTTATTGGAATGGAATTGCGGAGATTATTTGGGGGTTATTGAGAAGCCATTGAGTTATTGCAATGTTATTAGAGTTAATACCCAAATAACACCCTAATTACCCCCAATAAACTCCCAATAACCCTCCAAATAATATATGTGACTCCACTCCAATAATCTATGTGATTCTACTCAAATAACTTCTGCGGTTTCAATTTAATATTTTTTAAGGTGGGCCTGATATAGCACACGTGGCAGCATATTACTAGGAGTTCACAAGTAGAGCTACCTCCGGAGTCCGGACATAAAATTTTTCCTTTTCTTGGGCATCATTGTTGAAGTAGTTTTCCTTACAATGGTAGCAAGTGAATGCGAGGATGATCCTGCCGGGTCGATATGATATCATCGACCTCAACAAGTATGGGAATTCTAAAAAATCGGTTTCTACTCGATGCACATCCTCCACCCTGGGTTCGATAATTGCTTCTCTAATGATGCTCAAAATCTTCTCAAGGTTGAATCCAAATGAACTATCATTGGAGACTACCCATGGGTGTGTGCTGGCTTGGTAGACTGCTGATACCTTATTTAATTCCTTTCATTGTGAGCGTCAGGCCTGTTAGAAGTTGGCCAGGAGGGCTCGAGAATTTGGAGAAAATTTTAGAGTCCGAACGTAGCTCTGCATGCGAACTCCAGTAATATGTCGTCATGTGTGTTATATCGAGCCCACCTAAAAAAATATTAAAGTAGAACCACTGAATTTATTGAAGGGGTATCGAGGGGTTTATTGTGGCGTTATTGGAGTTAATGTCCCAATAACCCCCACAATAACCCCCAATAATCTTCGTAATTCCACTTCAACAAACCTTTATGTTAATTCCCTCAATAAACGCCTAACAACCCCCCAATAACCTCCCAATTTCACTTTAATAGCCCCTTAATAACCTTCACATAGCAGCATATTATTGAAAGTCCGCACGCAAAGCTGCGTCCGGACTCCGAATGTAAATTTTTTCCTAGAATTGGAGGTAAAATTAAAATAGACCATCGGTTGGTGGTCATCGACATTGGGTGACTTGGACGAAAGATAATCTGACACTAACAAATCAGTTATCCATGACTGATTTAGTTCTCAAGAAACTCCAAAGTTATTAAAAAGTCATCAAATCACTGCCCGCCTCATTCTGCTCTTAAACTTTAGAGAGAGAGAGAGAGCATAACCATGATACTTATACGTGAATATGCAAGCATATCATATCTGTTTGAATAGAACTAAAAAAAATAAATTAGCACATTTGTTATAAAATTTTCAAGCGATTGGATCTTATTGCTCACGCGGCCAAAAGGGGTTCTTGTGCTAATAAACAGAATTTGACACAGCCCACTGTCAAAAGGGGTTCTTGTGCTAAATATACAAGAATTTTGTGCTATGTGGGGGCATTTACATAGCACACAATTCTTACCTATTTACATATCTCACACCTAAACTTCAATATTTACACATAGCACACCAATCTTCAGATAACAGAAAAGATGCATAAACTAACAACTGTGAAGCAGTAAAAGCCTTATTTCCTTCTAATAGACGCTTAATTGAAATTTATTAAACCGTTCATACATGATTCAGAATTTTTTTAAAAAAAAAAAACTAATGAGAATAAAATGGACCTTGCACTATTTCTAAAGCATAGTCCTTACTATCTTTACAGATGAACGGCTTGCTGTTATCTTTATATCAGTTCATAAAGCCAAAAGGTGATCTTTTTCTGCTGCCTCCCTCTCCATATTGTTCATTCCATTTTCTTAGCTCATTCATACTGGCAGCATCATAGGCAACAGAAGCTCCCACCTGGTCGAAAGTTGAACAGAATAGAAACAAGAGTTCTGAATTGCGCATCAACTTTGAAGCAAAAAAGTGAAGGAAAAAAAAAACACTTCTCTCAGAAGTTTAACATAGATATTTCAGATTCTTATTTATTTACATTTTTAACAACTAATCCTTTATATTTACTAGTATAATACCCTCATGTAAAAATCACATCGAAACAGAGATGAAAATGTTCATTTCAGTCAGCAAGTTTAGTTATAATTTTGATAAGTAATAGAAAATAAAAAAAAATTAATTATTAGGCGAGTAAATGCATAATAAGAATTTCATGTTTTGTGTGAAAATCCCCTGAAAAGAAATTAAATGAAATCAAACATAAAGAATGATTTCATGTACCTTGGATTTGGCTTTAATGAAATCATCAAGCACAAGCTGCCTCAATGAGTATGCTGTAGACTGTTGGCATTGCTGATTCATACAAAATAAATGGAATTATGATGAAAGAAATTGATGAGAAAGAACAAAAATTGTAGGAAAAGATAAATATTTATTGTTTTTTTTTTTCACTGGTGAAGTGATTATGAATAAAACCATGAGGTCATTGACATGAGTGAGAGATTCTTCAGAGCAAAGGAAGTTGATTTGATCTATAAGATGCAGCTTTGTTTTGCTTCATGAGCTTATTCAATTAAAAACAAAAAATGGCGCATGATTCTTCATGTGGGGGGAAAAAAGGGTAGGAATTTTCAGTTTATTCTTTTTCACATTTTTTTAGCATGTCAAATTCAATTTTCTTTTATATATACTCCATGTAATGAGAACAAACATTTACATATAATAACAAAGACATTGATAAGAATGTAAAAGCTAGTTAAGGTAAATTAGTTAAATGGAAAGGCTAATTAGAAGTATTATGTATGCAGATTTAAAATTGCTGCATGCTAGAATATGAGCAGCAGTAGAGGAAAATTTTGAAGTCTTAAATTTTACAAAGACCTAGCTGACGCAAAAATGAAGGTTGCAAGAGACCAAAGTTTTTATATGAAAAATTCAAAAAGAGAAAACCCCCCTGACTTAACCCAATTGAAAATAATCCAATATACAAGTAAATTTATAAAAATAAGCTTTCTCCTCATTTGAAAACGACAAGATTATGAAATTGGGAATCCAGCTTGATCTTGTAATTATAGAGATTGCTGAAAAATTAGTGGAGAGTAATGACAGTTGGACAATGACGATTAGATGATATTAGTCAAATAATAACAGTCATTAATATATTATGTACCCCTGGATATGCGGACACTCAACAATAATTTTAGATATCATCTAAAATTAATTTCTTCTCGAGAAATTCTTAGATAATTGTTGATTATTACCTTAATGCAATGCATCATTACCACTGAATATTCATTAACAATAAATTTAGAAAGATTTACATACTTGCCACGCAATACATATGCATTTATAAATCTAACACCTAAACCAATATTTATATTTATATCACTATACTTATGCGTAAAAAAGTGTATTTCATTTTCTAAATGTTAGTGGTAGTGTTTTTTGATGTGATATCAAATATTCGAGTGTTATAAATATAAAAATTGAAGTTAAGGTGTTTGATATGTAAATCCATAAGAATTATGTAAATGTCACAAAAATTTATTTAGTCTCCAAGAGGCCACGTTTTATGAATCCAAGTGTTATATCATAAAAAATCATCAATTATAAATTTATGCATGAAATGAAAATATTAAAATAGAAATGGCAAACCTAAAAACAACTAAGCAATATGAAACAGTTATAAATCAAAGTGCACTAAACAAAGGCAACAAATTTGTCGATAGCTTCACGTTTGAATTTGATTAGATGCACCGATTAGGTGCAGGACGGGACAACGTTATAGTGAAAATTTCATAGATTTACTAAAAAACAAGAAAGATGAATATTCAAAGGAGAGATAAGTTAGAAAGTTACATGGTAATTCATTGCCATTAATGTTGATTCCTCAAAGCATCAAGTTACTAAGGCTTTGAGGCAATGAATGTGCTAAAACCTCAACGCACAACCTCAACGCACAAAAAAAAAAAACTTGAGCATGCATATGAGGTTATAACTTCATGGTGCCTTAGTTCAATGATTAATTCAACAGTCATCTTAACGTACGCACTATATGAGAATAATAGGCCTTATGGTAAACAACCCTTAACAAATAAAGAAATTTAAAAATATGTTGAATAATGTCATTAAACTAGAATTTATAATCCTTAAAATAATCGAGGACAAAATGAAATGACATATGACACCAATGATAGATATTTAATCAATTACATTATAATTGGCAATCGAAAGTAGCCATTTTACGCGAGCAAATGATAATCCTTATATTATTTATACTTTTTCTTCAATTTTTTTCTTAATCAAGCCTTTCATTTAAATTTTTATCTGGAGATTGTTGGGCGACAATAATAATTGAAAGAAAATTGTTATTTTAAGCAATGCATCATCAGATTTGTATTGAGATATCCCAAAGAAATTTGTACCAGGATGGAAAAACAAATGAAAAAAATGTAGAATACAAGCTTAAAAATGATTTCAATCATTGAGTTTTAGACTTATACTTTGCCTTCCATTCTAATAAAATGCTACACTCACCAATGAAATCAAGAAAAGCTCACCACTGCCACGAAGATTTACGATTTAGAGTTGGACTACCACTAAAATCACAAGATATCATGTTGTGATAATGGGATGATGCAATGATCCTCGAATAATTTACAGAGCAAGAAAAATTTTTTGAGTTCCTAGTAGGACTCAGCAAAAATTTTGGCCAAATTTGGATCCAAATCTTATGCCAAAAAGAAAAAAAAAATCCTTCTTTGAATTAAGTATTTTTTTTCAGACAATATGATTAAATTATCCGACCCTCAAGATATCAATCATGACAACTTTTGGATGCCAAGATAAGAGAGTTTTGGTCACAAAAGCTTCTACAAAAATGGAACAAAAATATTGTTCCAAAGACAATATCTAATGCTACTACTACAAAAAAAGACGCATAAGAAAAATGTTGGAAGTTCCACAGAAAGCCTCAGGGCTATAAAGAAAACGTAAACAAGAATAAAATAGAACAAGTCTCCCCAGTGAAGTCAGAAGTACTCGGCTCAGAATAAATTAATAAATTAAAGAGTTTTCTCAATTCCTTAGAAAAGCTTTACAAATCTTGCTATTTTGTTAAAAAGCATATGATTTTGAATTCTTACGTTTTCAGTGCCTCCAATAATTCTTCTCTTTCTTGATAGTAGATTGAATAGTCACTAATCACATAACAAACTTTGTAAATACATATCAAACTTACAAGCCTTCTACTAATAATAAGAAAATAAAAGTTCAAATATATCTTTAACTGTTGCAGAACAAAGAAACATCCCAACTTAATCTCGAACAGTTGCAGAACAAAAACCACAAACACAAAAATAATCTTCGTTACTGATCTCCATATCATTACAACCTCACTATTAGAAACATGCTTACGCAGACAAGAAAAGAATGTTTTACACATTAAAGGCTAAAATTAATTGTTACACTCCACCACTCATTGTCGACATCATCTAGGCACACCATTATATATTAGTGCACCTTTCTTTTAAAAATATTTAATGTTTATTTTATTCTAATTTCAAAAATATAAATATTAAATACTTCCATAATGAAATTCGTGAAATCCCTAAACATCATTGTATTTCCTTTGCTTAAAACAACTCAAAATCCTCAAATTCTTGTGTGTTAATTCATTCAGCTATCCATGGGCCCTCTAAAATTCTAGATATCTCTGGAACCATTGATTTTATCACCTCTATTGATAAATGCGTCCAAATGATATGGAAAATTTACATAAAAAACATCTAATTATAACACCATTCTCCCTATATTCACAATAATTATAAAGAACAAATAAAATTCTGACATCAAATTTTTTTATACTGATAATGCTTGTGATTATCTTAATCATGCATCATCGGCCTTCTTTCAGCAAAAAAGTATTATCCATAAATCTTTTTCCGCAAACACTCCCTAAAACAATGGATTTGAAGGGGGAAAAAAACCTGCTACCTTTTTGAGGTCACTGGGACAATTCTCCTCCACAATCATCTATCAAAATGATAATGGGAAGAAAATGTTCCAATGACTACCTATTTAATCAATTTAATGCCCTACAGAGTAATTAATTCTAAAATCCCTCCAAATTATTTGATAGAGTTCTTTCCTACAAACAACTTCTCTAAAATCCTCTAAAGAATTCTTAGATGCATTACCTATGTTCATATCCATAAACAACACATAAATAAACTTGATTCAATGGTTCCCAAGTGTGTATTCAATAATTATTCTGTCACACAAAAAAGTAGAAAACCATAATTTACCCAATAAAAATTACTCAATTCAATGGATGTCACTATTAATGAAATTCATAATTTCTTCACTCAAACTCATCTTCAAGAGAAGAATTCTAAACTTTAAGATAAATTTGATGACACTTTTTATCTTGATACTCATACAGCTGAAAATTCTACACATATAGGTTGTGCGCATTTAGATCTATCCAAGAAAAGAGCCTAACCGCAATCTCCAGTAAGTCTGGATCTTGGAACCATTACCAGATAATATTGATTTGTTTGCAGTTAACCATTTATATCATATATCTCAGTATAACTCCTTTCATAAATTTTCCATCACAAAAAATTTACAACCAACATCAACACCAACCTCATTTCCACTCCACAAACTATTTAAGACACTTGAAAATAGATATTGAAATGATGCTATGAAAGAAATTATACACGTGAGATCATTATATTACTAAGGAAAGAAAATGGTGGGATGCAAATGAATCTTCATGATCAAAATTTTATAGCTCCTTAAAAAAGAATCAAGCATAGAGATTGAAAATGGCCCTATACAGACTAAGAAAATCAAGAACATGATTTTACAAATTTATAAAAGCTGTGATGGGAGTTGGATACAAACAAAGATAAGAAAAACATACTCTTCTCATAAAGAAATCTCCTTAAGAATGAGTCTAAATTCTTATTATATATGTCGATGAGCAGAAGATAATAAAAAAGGTCACTGAAAAATTCAAAATCATAGGGCTAGAACACTCAAATATTTCTTAGATATACAAGTCACTCAATCTAAACATGGAATATGTCTCTCCTTAAAAAAAATATTTTCGACCAACTGATTAAAGGAAAAAAAAAACAAAAATGACAGCGCAAGTCATGTAAAACTTAAACTAAACTAAAATAAAAATTGGACTTTAATGAAAGAACCAAAGTAGATATAGGAAAATATCAGATTCGTAAGAAAATTAACCTATTTATCTCACGCTTATCTTTTGATCACACTCATAGTAAGTCTAGTAAGTTAATTCATACATAAGCCCATAAAGTTGCCACTTCAATTTGCCTATAAAATTCTCAAATATTTTAAATCAAATAGAAATCATATAAAAAAAAACATGATATGCACAAATTTGAAAGATACACAAATGCAAACTATATTGGATCACTGATAAATAGAAAGTCCACTTAATAATATTTTATATTCTTGGGAGGTATTTTCATAACATGGAGAAACAAAAAAAAAACCCTATAGTTATAGGATCAAGTGTGGAAAATGAGTTCAAAGTCACTGTTGAAGGGATTTGTGAGTTTCTATAAACCAAAATCATATTAGAGAATAAAAAAAAAGAAATGCCTATAGAAATATATATTGATGATAAATTGGCTATCAATACTGCACGCACGCTAATACAGTATGTTCAAACCAAGCATATTGAGGTTGATAGACAATCATGAATGAGAAATTGAAAAGTTGATTTGGAGACATGCCCTACAAAGAATCAACTAGCCAAAAAATTCAATAAGGAATTAAAACCCCACATTCAAATTATTATAAGTAAACTTAAAATTGTAGATCTTTGTCATCTAGTTTGAGGGGTACTATTGAATTTATGTTGATAAGTCTAGCTGCAACACTGTTCGCCCATGGTTTGTCAATATTGCTATAACCCTCCCCCTCTCTCTCTCTCTCTCTCTCTCTCTCTCTCTCTCAATGGAGCCCACTCAATCTCTAATCATAGCAAAAAGCTTAAGCTTCACTGATAAATGCTTTATACCGATTGTCATAGCAAAGAGCTTGAGGCACACTAATCAATGCTTTCTACCTATTGATCAATTTCTCTATAGCCGAATGATCGCAATCTGTGTGCTTCCACTAAAAATTATTTTTCCATCTTTTTTTTGTTGGGAAATTTACATACATACCACACAATTCTTATGAATTTTACATATCAACACCCACAGTTTGATATTTACATTTATAACACCTTGGAGTCATAAACCAATGCATGAAAATGTTTTAAGAGAATATTGTAACTAGAGTATTTACATGTTTTAAATGTGCTTGAGACATAGTGGACAAGATAGATCTAACTTGAACTTGGAGACAATGTGCTTGAGAATTTAAATTAACAGACAGTACTATCTGTGGTTCCACTAAGATAAATTGAACTTGATACTAAAAATTTTAGTAATATGAGGCTACCAAAGAAATAGATCAATCATAGACACCATCTATAGTTTGTCTCATCAAAAGGATTATCCCATGGTGTAGATCATTCAAATGGAAAGCAATGAGAAGAAAGTCAATAGATACTTGGTCAAAATGAAAAAAGTAGTAGATGAAATACGATTTTTTTTTATAGTAAGTACATAAAGGACATCATTTATGAGAAAATTGTGAGTCATAGTGGGTAAATATGTGGAATCAATGTTGGCTATGGGTCAAATCGTGCTTCCCCAATCATAATATCATCAAGACCATTATACGAATTGAAAGGAAAGATATTTCTTTAGACAACAATGATGAGGTAGGAAGCACCACTACTAAGAATTCAATTTAGAATTATTGTAATGTTGATAGTAGGGTATAGTAGGCTCATGACTATCCTGGTTTAGATGACAACACCCTTTGAGACAAGGTACTGAGAAGCTTAAGTTGGTTGTGGATTAAGAGGTAATCAATGGAAACATAGTGATGTCGTATTTTTTATATGATGCTAAATATTTGAGTAGTATTCATATAAATATGAATGTTTAGGTGTTATGTAAACACATGAGAATTATGTAATATGTATGTAATGCACCTTCAGAATGTATATTTACAAATAAAGTGCAATAAAACAATCTTGAAGTTTTTCTCCAATGTTTTATTTTTCTAGAATATATGTTTGACAAAACTAAAAGGCTAAACAAATAACTATGTTAAAAGAACTGTTGAAGAGACCTCAATTCAAAATAACGTAATCAAAAACATACTTAGATGGTTCGAACATATAAAATGAGAGAAGAATTTGCACAATTAGATGGTGGACAAAATTAATGTCAGAAGAGTAAAAAAAGTGAAGGGGTAGATGCAAGATGCCATGGACAGGTGCACAAAATGATGAGGAGAATAAGTTTTAACACCTCAAAATTAAGAAAGAAAGATCGGCAAATGAGGATGCATAATGTTGAACCCAAACAATTAGAATAATGCTACATGAAGTTGACAATGATTAAGACAACGATTGATGCTGCAACCAACAATAATTGATCGTGAAATCAACAAAAACCTTCATTTCCGCAATCTCGATTTCCAAACCTAACATCCTTCAAATGCAAAACAATAATTTGCTTTAAACTTCTAAACAAAGAACAGGTTCTAACAATTGAATTCTAGCAATTAAATAAAATTCTGAAAAGCGAACAGGACATTAAAATAAGAGATGTTCAAGGTTAAAAGGTTGAACTGTGAGCATGTATATGAGATAAATATATTTAAAAACAAAAAAAAAATTATAACAGAGATATAAAAATAAAAAAAATAATTTATAGTACGAATATAAATTGTAATAATAAAATAATTTATAATAATTAATAAGAATAAAAATTTCTAACATAAAAAATAAAATTAAAATATTATCACATCCCGTAGCTGATTACAAATTTTCATTGCCCAAATCTCATGGCTCTATTCTTCATTTTCGTATCACAACTCAAATTTTAACATGCAATCTTTTAGTCTCACATCATAAAGGGGAGTTAGTATTACACTGTTTATATAGGATACAAAGTTTTACGGGTTTAATTTCAAAATCACCTAACTGGTAGGCATGCAATGGATTAACTTGATTAAGCTCAAGTTAATTACATTTTAGATATTTAAATCCATGATTATAAGGTTAGAATAATAAACTAATAAATTTAAATTTTAAATAAAAAATTTTAACCATTTGATTGAGAATTAAAAATGATTAAAAAGATTATTTCCACCAGCTGTTTCTACGTAACAGGAACCAATTCATCCACTCGCCTGCCAAACTAGCAGTTCTCATCGGTTTTCACTTTTCACTGATTTGAAGCAAAAATGGTCATTGAGGCTACCAGAACTGGTTGTATGATCGGATCATTATCAAACTGATTGAACTAGCCACTCCAATCTGACTTTTAAAACCTTGCAACTTTTACATCTAAAACCTCCTCTGCCATGATCTATGAGAATCAAATATGACACTAGTGAAAAATGTTCTTCAGTTGGAAAGTTTACACTTTACAATAAGAACACATCTTCATCGAAGATCTAAGTTAAAATACACAACTTCAATGCACCCAGACCCATCAGAAAACACAACATCTAGCTGTACAAGTTCTATGATCTACAATAGGATACACAACTTTTGATCTTATATTTTAAGGTGTGTTCTTTCAACAAATCAAGGTGCATAGCCTTTATAATGTAAAAATTAATCTAGCATACGTAGTATCAAGATATTCATGCAGTAATTAACAAATGCAGCTAACTTTTTCATATTAGATTATCTCACTGAATCTCTGCACTCACGACGCCAATTACGATATTCACTTCTCCGCCCCTTTGATGTGGTTTATTCCCTAAATAACTATTTTTCTACACATAGCAGCCACAATCAAGCAAAAATTTTCCAATATGTTCAACCTAGCATTCTATGACAGGTTTTAAAATTAAATAATCACAGCTAACGGACTCAACAAAAAACTAGTTGAAACTAAAACGTTAGCACAGCTAAAGAAAGATAACAACGCTACCTGCTTTTCTTTTTCAAGAAGTTCCTGGACAGGTCTATATGCAGCGGCAATGCAAAGATTCTGCATAGAGAACAAAAACAAAGTGACAAATTGCACAATTGTATAAAGAGTTTGAAGGGCTTTAATTACCTTCAAGTCACTTCCCGAATAACCTTCTGTTGAATTAGCTAACTCATCAAATCTAAAGCTAGGGTCAAGGTTTTCTTGAGAAAGAAATATCTTTAAGATCTTCATACGGTTTTCTGCATCCGGAAGGTCCACGTATATCCTTTAATGACAAAAAAAAGCAGAACAATTTTGATTAAATAAGAGATCAGAATAAAAGCACATAAAACCATTCTATAAAATGTAAAAATACAGCATAATTTTCCAATCCCTACCTTCTTGGAAGGCGGCGTATCACAGCATCATCCAAATCAAATGGCCTATTTGTTGCACCAAGAATAAGAATCCTTTGATTATCCTTAGTCCTCAAACCATCCCAAGCCGCCATAAATTCATTTCTCATTCTTCTTGTTGCTTCATGTTCAAAAGCTCCACCACGTGCACCAAGTAAGCTGTCAACCTACAGTAAATGCATTGGATTAAAATTAAATAGAAAAACAGCAAATTTAAATAAAATAGAAATAAGGAATGTTACCTCATCAACAAAAATGATAACTGGTGCCAGACGAGACGCAAAAGAAAAAAGAGACTTGGTGAGCTTCTCAGCATCGCCAAACCACTATTAGAGGACCAATGAATTGCTTTAAAACAGCAAGAAAAATTCTAGTTGACTAATAGTGATTGAAAAGAATCTAATTTACCTTCGATGTAAGAGTAGAACCTGTTATATTGATAAAATTTGCTCCAGCTTCAGTTGCAAGGGCTTTTGCAAGAAGAGTTTTACCTGTTCCAGGTGGGCCAAAGAGCAAAATTCCTTTGCAAGGCTGAAAAGAAGATCACACAGCTCACCAACCAGGAAAATCTAAATTTGACATTAAGGAAATAGCGGAATTAGAACAAGAAGGTTTTCTAACCCGTAAAAGGTTTCCATGCGAAAAAAGCTCCGGCCTTCTCATTGGAAGCGTGACAAGTTCGTTTAAAGTTCTCTTCACATCTTCAAGAGCACCAATATCATCAAACTTGACACCTATTTCATCTGGGGGGACCACCGCTGAAACAAAATTGCTTTCATACTCATCTTTCGCAAGATTCTACAATAAAATAATGCAATTTATGAAACCTTCAACAGTTTATTTGTAATTATAAGAATTAAATCCTTGTGAATAAGAATGAGCAATCACCTTTATACTCTCTAAGGGCTTTGTTGAAACTGATTCCTGCTCCCTTAACCTTGATATGGCAACCTCCAAACTTTATAAAAATAAAAAATAATTTTAGGTTTAACAACCAAAGCAGCCTTTACATTTCCACATATAGAAGGTAACAAAGCTTTACCTTTCACAGGGAATCAGAAGTCTCCCGTTACTAACAGAAGGATGAATGACGGAGGACAAGTAGTGATTTCTAGCCCACCCTACAACTTTCTCAGCTTCTGCATTTAAAAAATGGGCATCCAATGCTATAAATATACACAAATATTGTCTTGGTTTGGAGACCATGAACATAGATGGTATCAATAAACCTTTAAAAAGTAGCATTGAGAAGCAGCATCTAAAATAAATAAATACAAGAAAGAAAAAAAATACAACTGGCATCAGATACCAAGTGATTTACACAAAACTTGTCGGCGCCAAAAATTTGAGAAAGAAGAGGATTCGGTGCAGGGGAATGAACCAAAGGTGAAATTTCGAGGGGGGGGGCGCAGACAGAGAGAAAACGATGAGTTTTGAAGTGGAAATCGGAGAACAGGTAAGGAAATTTTGTGTGGGTTGTCGGTTCGACCAGGCAGAATGAAAAGAAGAGAAGATTAGGTTCGAACAAGATAGGTTGTGGCAGGGAGAGGTTTGGAAATTGGAAAATGAGAAAAAGAAGCATTGTGGCTTTGCTACGATCGACAAACTGAAGTAGAACAAAGAAGTTAAGTTTGTGCTTGAATAAAAGCCTTAGCTAACCAGGAGAAGTGTGGGAGGAGTTATCGAATCTTGGGACAAGTGCACGTCATGTTTTATTTTTATTTTTTTTCCTTTTAACAGTCGACAAAGAACTCACACAATATACCAATAATACCGGTAGATACACAACATGTTGAGCTGTAATTTTGAAACCACAGAGCCAAACCCACATAGTTTAGCAATAACAGTGACGATACAAAGAAAACTTCTCAATCAATCAATAAAAGAGGATACCCTAACCCAAATTTGCTGGAATAAGGCTTACGATAATAGTGATGATGATTGATGATGAACCTATTGGTAAAATGCTTTTAAAGTCTGATCCTAGACAATAAAAAATCCATCTATTGCTAAACCAAAAATCAATGCAAGTGTATACTGGATAAGAATTTATATTATTCCCTTACTTTGCTTTGTCAAGAAAACACAATCTGTCTTCAAATGTAAAAGCTCCAGGCATGAAAGACTGTGCTCTTCAAGAACCTAAATTATCACAAAAGCAGAAATGGCTTTTTTTTCATGTTTCAATCCAAGGTTACAATAAATAAGTTTCTCAGAAAATGAACGATGAGCAAAAGCAACTAAACCTTATGCAGCTCAATAAGATTATTCCTTGATAAGATTAGTTTCTTATCCTCTTCAATTTGTTTGTTGAAAGTTCTGAGTTGATCCTCTCCCTGAAAGGAATAAACACAATGCCCTCTTGATATCAAATTCAAGAATAGAGATAGGGCTAACGCAAATAAAATAGGAAAACTACAAAGAGTAATATGAAAAGCAATCTTTCCTTTCTTAAAAAAAGGTCTTAAAGGACCTAGGGAAGGCGTCTCATTAAAGTTCACGTGGAAAAAATGGCCACATTTACAATGGACAATTAATGGTCACGCTAAAAGAAGCTAGATCTAAGAAATTCTTTAAAATAGAAGCCAAATAGTCACACTGACTGGAAGCAAATCGACTGTAGTTCAAAATCAATAAAATTGATGACTTTTACTAGGCTTATAAAGTTGAAGCAGGCCAATTGATTCAATTTTGTTCATAACATTGATTAAAAAGTAGGGAAAAAACCAATCATCAATCTCCTTCCTATATATTCTTTTTATGCCTCAATCTCTTCATCCTCCACTTAAATATCTTGTATTCTTCAAAATAAAGGCAAAAATATGCATTATGCTAGATCATAAATTAATTTCTCTCAATTCTCGAACATTTTCCTCACACAACATCTCTTACTTCCATCTCTTAAAATTCTCAAATATTGGTGAGATTCAAAAAGTCTTTATAAAAGCAATTTATTTTTTAGGGGTAATTACATTCATACCACAAAACTTTCACGTTATTACATATCCAACATATCACATCTACATTCATATTTACTCATAAACAACCCCCCCCCCCCCCCCAACATGAAAAAAGAAAAAGAAATAAGTTTGAGCCTACCACTAAAGGCGAGCCTTAAAACGAAATTATAGTCTACCAGAACTCTTCTAGCATTAAAATAACTTTAAAACAATAATAACTTAAAGTTATATTATGCATAGAATTTGATAGACTTAAAGTTATATTGTGCATAGAATTTGAATCTAAATTGTAGCATGCATTAAGAATCGACATATAACCCAATTTACTTTGCACCAAAACTTGTACATATAATTTAAACTAAATTCAATAATAATCCAAACTTGAATCTAAAACTAGATTTTGATATGAAGATCATATTTTAAAAAGCATCTTAATAATAATATGAAGCTATCTTTGACTTTAAAACATATGATGCATGAACAAGTTGTTTTAAGTAAAAGAAAATTTGGATGAGCAACCTAACTCTTTATAGAGAGTCATGTTAGTCCCAGAATCCATCAAAATATCAACTTAATCAGCAAACTCTTTTAATGAGGACCTAATCATGGAGACTATTTAACCCATATTAACAAAGCACAAGGACAAATATGACACTTTTTACGGACTCCGAAACTAAAAAGGCCACATGTAAATAGTCAGGGAACTATTTTGGCACTTTACTCCTTTAAAAATATATGATGTTATGATCCCTATGTCAGCCAATCAAACCAAATAATTTTTTTTTTCAATTCTTGTTTTACACATTCATAGAAAAAATCCTATTGGGAAATTCAAAGTGCGCCAACATGTTAATGACTAATTCATCATAACTGACCTCAAAAAAACATGACATGTAAAACTCTCCTATGTCTAATTAAATTGATAGAAACAAAATGTGCTATATTTATCACCAAATCATTTGGATTACATCTTAACTAGGTAATACATCCATATGATATAGACATAGTATTTCTGCAGACTTTTCAATTATCAAAAGAAATACAGTGCAAATCAAACCAAAAAATGATTTTGTTTTTTGTTCGATTCTTGCTTTGCACATTCAGAGAAAGAATCTTATTGGGAAATTCCAATTGCATCAACAAATCAATGAATTCATTCATGATAACTGATTTCAAAAAAACATGACATGTAAAACTCCCTTGGGTCTAATTAAATCGAAAGATGCAGAATGCACTATATTTCTCATTAAATCATTTGGATTACATCTTAACTAGTGTTGACCTCGCTTTCGATCTTGTCCTCGCTTTCGGTCGGGTTTAGTTTTCCCCTCTTTAGTAGTCTAGGATCTAGCCGTAGGTCCTTTCTGTCGACTACTCCTAGAAAACTAGTGAAGGAATCCTTCCCGTTAACAATTCTGAACTTTTCTTCACTCGACTTGCACCGTCGTGCTCTTCGTCGTCCTGTTTAATTGAACTCGAGCCGAGTTTCTGAAGCGATCCGGGTCGCGACGTGTTTTTGTCCTGATCGTCGACGAGGTTGCCTAAACGACTCCGAATGAAAAAATAGACTGCGCCGACGTGTCCGGAACGTCGATTTTGCTTAAAGAGAATGTTTGTTTCATTCTGAGGACGCGTCTAAAGAAAGATGCGTAATTTAGGTATAATTATAATAATAAATAATAATATTATTATTATTTATAACCTAAATCTATCTCCTCTCTCCCCGCCTCATTCTCTCGAACTCGTGGGTCTGCCTCAGCCCTAGGTTGTCTGGCCCGCTCCTTAGTGTCGTTGAAAGGATTCGTTCTCGCGTTCGCCTCTCGCACGCGAGACAAGTCTCGCAGACGCCCATCCCTCGTATCCTATCTTCTGCGTTCTGAGTTCAATCTTCTCTGCCGCGGATCGTATCCACCGCGAGGATCTAATCCTCTGCCTCTCTCGATTCCTCTGCCGTATCTTCTTAATCATTCTTCTCCTTTATTAGAGCTTGGTTTTTGTAGCCCTGGGGTAATGCCGAAAACTTTTCTAAGGAAACCCTGTCATTTTTCTTTTTCACTCACTTCTTTGATTTTCTGGTGCTTGACTTGGTTTCCTCTTGTTGTTGGAAGAGGAATTGAAGTTGGGGAGTGCCTTTAAAGTTCCTGTGTTACTTTCTTTCTGCTTTAAGGAGGTACCTTCCTTCCCCCCCTCTCTGCGCCTTACTTCCTTTCAGTTTTCTCTCTGTCGCTCTCTGTCGAGCCACTGAATTGGACGGTACAGCATGCTAGTTTATTATTGTACCTATACTTGAGATGTTTATTACTATACTTGAGATATTTATTACTTGAGCATGTGAAAATAGAATGGCAGACATTTTTTAGGGGTTGGACATGGTTATTTACTTAGGATAGTGAGAATGTGGCATGTTTATATTCATTATAGCATATTTCTATTGGAAGTCATTAAGATGGTTGAAACATGGCTTTGAGACAATGTTAGCTCTTCTTGCAAGCATGTTAGGATATGTATCATGAAGCTTTTCATTTATTCTTATCTAGCATGAGACATTGGAAGGTTTATTTGGTCTTTCACGCATGTGGGGTCTTTCACGCCTCGAGGGGGCTCGATTTTAGCTCCTGTGGTTGCCTCATTTGTTCAAAATCTATATGGGGTATGAAAAGATTTATTTTGGAAGTCCCTCGGAACTTAGTTTGGAGAGCTTGAAATGTTAACTTCGAGATTTATGCATGCTTCTCTACTTCACATTATTCCTCTCATATGAAACACATGTTGATGTGAGTTTGCTTTAGCCACCGAATGGCACGGTTTTTGGCCTTTACTAGGCTCGGTTTTGGCTCCCCATGGCTTTTCCTGCCCCGAAATGCATGTTATGAGAAAAACTTATTTAATTTTGAAAGCCCTATAACTTGCTTGGATGGCTTGGGTTGGCTTGGTTTTACCTTAAGATGGCTGGAATTTTAATTTATGTTAAGGCTTGGGTTTTAATCTGTGCTTGGACTCTGTTTTGGCTTTGATTGGCTCAATTTCAGTCTCTATTACGGCTCGGTTTTGCCTGATCCGGTCCTTGGTTTCTTTTTCTTTTTACATACTTGTAAAGCTTATTTTGGCATGGGATCTGTATGTTGTTGGCTGCTCCAAGTCCAATATATGTGTGGTTTTATCCCCAAATGATTTGAAATTGGTGCAGGGTGTGGTTTTACTCGTTCTTGGCCTTATTCGAGAGTTTGGCTTGGTTTGGTTTTGCCTTTTCTGGACCTTACCCGAGAGTTGGTTTGGTGGAAGGACTCGGTTTTGCTTATTTGACCCTGTTTTGGCTTTGAATAGCTCGATTTTAGCTTTCCTTGGAGCTCAGATTTACTTGCTTTGGCTCTTACCCGAAAGCTGGTTTGGTGGATGGGCTTGGTTTTGCTTGTTTAACTCTGTTTTGGCCTTGAATGACTCGGTTTTTGTCTGGTTCTGCTCCTAACCGAGAGGTAGCTTGGGAGCTTGATTTGGTTTGTTCTTAGTCCTACCAGTGAGCTTGTTGGTAGATCATTTGGTTTGGCTTTGGCCCCTGCTGGGCTCAATTTTGGCATCTCGTGAGTGTTTTTGGCTTAAATATACATATTGTGGAGCAATTTATTTTGATTTTGAGGAGTTTCATAGCTATTCTTGTTTGAAACATATGGTAGTCTTATATTTTGATGTCTTGAAGGCATAGAGATGTTTTCTACCCTTTTGTTGTGGCCTAGGTTTGATCGCCCTTACCCGAGAAGTGGTTTGAGTGTGGTTTTCTTGGCTTTAGTTCCTACCCCTACCCGTGAGCTTGCTGGCAATCCTTTGGGGTTGTTTGGCTCTTCCTACACGAAGTGGCTTGGGTGTTGATCGATGAGTCAAGTTTAAATGTATGTATTTGCCCTATCTATAAAGTGAGGTGATTGAAGAATGGGTTGAACAGTTTCCTTATGTCCTACTTGGTGAAATTGGAGTCGGTTTGGAGGCTTTGTGAGGGTTTGTCCATTCATTCTCCTATGTATATCAAATATCTTCATATAATTGATTTGGGTGGCCTTGGCCGTGAGCCTCTTTTGGCCTTGGGTTGCCTTAGCCGTGAGCTTCCTCTTCTTCCGTGCCTCGGGTTGCCTTGGTCGTGAGCCTCTTTTGGCCTTGGGTTGCCTTGACCGCGAGTCTCTTTGGCCCCGTTTTGCCTTGACCAAAAGTCTTGGTGGCTATATTCTCACCTATTAACCCCGGCCGTGAGCATTTATTTGGTTCTATGGGAAAATTTCATGCTTATTTGATATATGAGGCCATTGATTGATTTGAAAGTTGGAAGATCCTGATTTTTGCATGGGTTTGAGAGTACTAGTGGTGGTATTCTTCGAGTTATTTTCCTT